AGTCCTACATGGTGCGAGGGCTCAATAGGCGGGTCGTGGCGGTGGGGGTGACCGTGGAGATGGGCCCCAAGGGTGTCCTGGGCATCCAGGACCTTCTGGAGCGGTTGTGTGTGTCACCTGTGTGACCTCGTGGCTGGGGTGGCCCTGAGGGAGCGATGGAGAAGGGCCTCAAATGGGGCTTGTGGGGACGGGAGGTGCGAATGGGTTGGAGCTGTCCCATCCCTGTGTCCTGGTGGCCTTGGGTAGGTGATGGAGATGGTCACCCAACGGGTCCATGTGACACGAAGGCCTTCCAAAGGGCCTAGACCTGGCCACAGCTCTCTGGTGGCCTTGGGCAGATGATGAAGGTCACCCAATGGGTCCATGTGACACGAGGACCTTTCAAAGGGCCTAGACCCATCTCTCTGGTGGCCTTGGGCAGATGATGTAGGTCACCCAACGGGTCCATGCAACATGCGGACCTTCAAACGGAGCTGGATCCTTCTGTCCTGGTGTCCCTGGGTGGGTGATGAAGGTCACCCAATGGGTCCACATAACATGAAGACCTTCCGAAGGACCTAGACCTGGCTCTTTGTTGGCCTTGGGCAGATGATGAAGGTCACCCAATGGGTCCACGTCACACAAGGACCTTCAGAAGGTCTCTTTGGTGACCTTGAGTAGGTGATGGAGGTCACCCAATGGGTCCACGTCACACAAGGAGCTTTAGAAGGTCTCTTTGGTGACCTTGGGTGGGTGATGGAGGTCGCCCAATGGGTCCGAATCACACAAGGACCTTCAGAAGGTCTCTTTGGTGGCCTTGAGTAGGTGATGAATGTCACTCAGTGGGTCCACGTCACACAAAGACCTTCAGAAGGTGTCTTTGGTGTCCTTGGGTGGGTGATGGAGGTAGCCCAATGGGTCCACGTCACACAAGGACCTTCAGAAGGTGTCTTTGGTGGCCTTGGGTGGGTGAGGAAGGTCTCCCAATGGGTCCACGGCCCCTCTGAAGGGTCGAGGCCTCCATCCCTCCATCCATGGGCTGCCCTGCGCCCAGCGGGCGCTGACGGCGCCGCCGTGCCCGCAGCTCGGTGGACATGGCCCGCCTGCCCTCGCCCGCCCAG